AAGGTCCCTTCCGACCCTACTTCTATGATTCTATGATGTACAACATCTACTTCTTCAGTCACTTTAAGATGCTAGAGCTACTCCTCTTCTGTGGATTCTAACTCTTTTCTTTGTTTTATACCAATGAGGCTGAAGGTTGATTTTTTGGAAAGACAAAGGAACTCAAAGATGGGAAGGTGAAATAATCTGTGACAACAGTTCATTGCCAAGGCAGCCTTCCTTATTTACAGTGTGCAGGGACATACATTGCAAGCATATATCACTGAATTATGTCAGACAAAGTACAACCTAATGTGTAAAACTAAGTGATTGTTAGTCAGAAAGAAACTGTTTTAGGGTTTGAAAAGAAAGTACTAAATTCAAATACAAGGTAGGTGATGTGCAATCCCTGGGCCCAATTTCCAGGGAGCGCTCTCAAGAAAAACTGCTGTACCTTCTCCAACACATTGCTGGGTTCCTGCTGAATTCCCTACTTTGCCATACGCCCAAAGGAACAATCCATATCCTCCCACTGGATACAGAACAGGAAGCACAGAAATGTTAGTAGGATCTTTGTAAATTCCCTAGCAGAAACCTTGGCAACATGTTTCTCATTGATGCTTTGATTTAGTATATCAATCAGTTATCTAATCGTTCAGTGTAAAATGTAAACCAAAAACAAAGCACAATTAAAGGATGGTGAGAAAAGAAAGCCATTCTAGACAGAGGTGATTGTTTAGAATGTTTGGTCTTACCCTGAAACCAATTGCTCATCAGTTAGAAGACACTGCTCTCTGAAATGGGAACATGGCCATAAACACAAAACAAACACACAACAAAAGAATAAAAGGAGGCAAAGTAGCACAAAATACAAAAAAAATACAACATTAAAAACTAAGACAGACTATTAAGGATTAAACGGCTGTACCCTACAGCTAACTATTGGGAAGACGAAACACACATATAAAGTAAGGGGATTGTACATATTTTATAATTAATGCTTATCTAACAAAAGTAGAAACAGTAACATTCTGGCAATAGCAGAGGAGATAACTTAATTTCATTTCCAGATAGTCATACGCATTTCTGGCATTGACATGCACCCATCTGTGGTGTTATACCACAGACCCTCCTGATTCACACTCTGTGAACTGGTAGCAGCACATCCCAGAGAGCTGAGATATAGGACATCACGAATGATTTTTATTGTGTGCAAAGTTGTGGCCCTTGAAATGGTCCTTAACACAGAACTGCCACTGTTGCTGAATACTGTAAGTGCATCTCCCCATGGGATTAAACAAACACTTTCAAGTCCATCCAATGTCACAGCATTAGCAGGGTCAATTTCCATGTCTCCCAGTTTGCTTCAGACACAGAAACCAATCAACAAGGAGAGCTTTAAAATAGAGAGGCTAAGCAAAGTTTTACAGCAAAAGAACATGAAGACCTTCATGTGGTAGGCTGTTTCCAGCTGGAGCTATTCTTATAAGCTCCAAAGAACACACCATTTCACAGTAATGACCTTCAACTTGTTTCCAAACACCAGGAGAAAGAGACAAAATAAAAGGTCTCTGCTAAAAGGAGTGTATTTCTTAAAGTTGGTGGGCATGATTGAAGAACTGTCCCCGCCCTCCACCCCCAAGTCAGGCTTGCCTTTTACCACACATTTTACACACTAACTGAAATCAAATGTCAACTCAAGCTTTTGCTGGCCTTCTTCCACCCAGGGCAGCCAACTGGGTTCACATTCACTTAACAAAAAGTGTAACAAATTGAGTGTGATAATATGGGAGGGATGACTAACGGAGGGATAGAAAGCCAGGTAACTTCCCAGAAAGGAGATTCCTAAGGATGCTCAAACAGTGCCCTAATGTGCTCAAGGGCACAAGTCCAATTTAAAAAGGGACAATATATGTGGAGGGGTTAAATCAGAAATAGGTGTCTGTCAGTAAGTGGCATAAAGGAAAAGACATACCCCTAAAAATGTGTCAATCTCACCAGCAATGCTAACAAGGGAGATGATACCACCAGTAGCATTATGCTGCAGTCCAAGAAAGAGATTGTAGTAAAAGCTGCCCTAGAAAGCTCAATTATAGAACAAATCTGTTTTGCATTCTTCAGTCCACCTGGCTTTAAAGCTACTTTTACAGCCCAGAAATGCATTATCACTCAGTGAGTTGTATATACATGAGACCAACAGCTAGAAACACCCTGACACAGCAAGATTGCTCCCAGATGCTAGCAAGACACCAGTGGGTTTGTATAACTCCCATTGCTGAACCAAAGACCAAATCAGGACAAGAAAATGGAGAAGACAGATTATGTTCCTCATGTGGTAGAGCTTATAAATTCTGTGCTATCTGAAAGGTGAAGGTGTCAGTGGAGGTTAAGAAGACTGTGTTGACTTCCAGAGAGGCTCCAACACCAGGCCAAACTGATCAGGGTCAGTTTCCTCAGGTCAGCAGAGAGCCATGTATTCCCCTCAGGCAAAAAGAGGTTACTTAATGATACACAAGCTTAGTGACCAAACTCTGCAAAATGTTGGAGGTAAGACAGCCACCTTTGCACATACCAATTTTCCCAGCTTCACAACAGTTGAAACGGACAGAAGCCTGGAAGTCTAGGACTTGGGAGCTCCTTCATGGCACCAACTTTAGGGGTTGCTTGGTTACTTTTCCACAATTACAATTTTGCCAGTTCAGGTATGTATCAGCACACTTAAACTGGTAAAACCTCTTAAGATAAACATAGCTATATCAGTATAAAAGTTCTTCTGCTAGTCCAGTTTCTGGCAGTTCAGTGTACCTTTCACCAGTTCATCCATGTTGGTGAAAACATCTCCTCATGCCTCTAAGCAACAAAACTATTCCAGTAACCCTTTAAGGGTAGAACAAGCCTTATTTTACCGTTTTGGAAAAGTCGTTTACAACCTGTGCGCCAGAATCTCACCATCTATGCAAATAATGCTAATATCCATCACCATGACTTGGGATGATAATGTAATGTTTGTAAATCACTCAGAAGATAAGAATGGGGAATAATGAAAGGCTAGGAAGGAAGCAAGAAGAGATGCATTTGTCAGACAAAGTTTGTTCTGCCTGGGGATAGATCCCTGATAAGCTTATTTCTGCTAGCAACACTATTCAAGTGATCCTGTTCAACTGCCTCTGAAAAGAGGAGAAATCTTTATTTTATGTGCTTATATATTAATTTATTAATATTATTTCTAATTTATTAATATTATTTATTAAAATACAGCTAAAATTAAAAGTATACACCACTGTCTTTTAGGTAAAATAAGCACAAGAATGGTATGCTGTATTTACTCAAACCTCAGATGAGTTTTTTCACCGATTCAACATAAGGCCATGGGCTGAAGAAGCTGCTCTTGAAACAGCTAAAGTACAGCTAGGCTGGGGCCAGAGACAGCATGTGCTCCATGCTCCAAGGAATAACAGAGGACCAAGTGGGAGCTAAGCAGACAGCTGGGGGAGGAGGTGGGGGTGGGTGCATGACCAGGGGCACAGGCATCAGGGAGCGCAGACATGCAAGGGGGGAAGGTGAGCCAACTAGCAGGGAGGCAGGCACTGGAGGGGGAGGTGCAGGTGGAAGAGGTTCAAATGGGAAGGAGCAGGAGGCAAGGGGTACAGGCACCATGGGTACACAGGCATGGGGAGAGAATGGGGAAGGGGCAAGCCACTTGACTCCACTGCCGCCTGCCTCACCACCACTTGCCCCTGCTTGGCACACTGCAATGGTAGGGAGGAATGAATTTAAGATGACCCTCCAAAAATTAAGACTCTACACATGGAAAATTATACCATATGTATAAAATCTCCATGTCTAGAATCTTAACTATTGAAGCATGTCTTAAATTCAGAGTTGCCCTGGATTTGAGTAAATATAGAATATCTCACAAAACACTATTACAAACCCAGAAAATTAAAGACCTCCAACAAGGTTAAGAGAAATCCAATTATGTACAGATATGGAATAGAGGAGTTAAGGTACCCAAAAGAGCTTTAATTCTATCCTTCAGGGCTGTCATGAAGATGTACAATTATGAAAAAATCTAATTTTGAAGATCAGGTTAATTTAATCCAGGACAAAACACAATCTCACAGTTAATGCATCAAATCATTCATTTCTCTCCTTTTAATCACCCCACTTCCAAAAAAAAATCCACATGTATTATACATTGCTACTACTGCAGCCTAAGAGCAAATACTCTGTAATGGATTTTCTATAAAACTATGGGTAACTTGTTGTATGTTCCAGTTTAAAGTTTTATTGATATATAAAAATGTCTTACCAAACTTTTTGTCTAGCACAAGAATTATAAAATAACTGTAACATTCATGCGAGTGCAATTAAAATATTACTTTTATTTTCTTTAGAGAAAAATGCCCCCTGCACTGAGCAGAATTAGCCAAGGAAAAGTAATATGCTATTTCATTGTCACTTTGGTCAAAGCTGTTCATATTCCAATGCAAATACAATACTATATTATATTCAGTGTTAAAATCTATTAAAAGAGCCAGATTCAAAAAAATTAAGCTACCTGGCCTTCACAATTAATTGTGTGAGACAGCAGCAAACCAAAAAATATTTATATGACTTTATACTTGATAAAAGAACACTTCATTTAGATGGTCTGAAAATATGTTGTATAGTAACAATACACTGAGTAATCTAATGGGAAGAAATCAGGTGTTGCTCTCAACTATTATTTCCAAACATAGGTGTATTTCTAGCTGTTGCATCAGTTCTCCAGTTAGACTTGACAGACAGGATAGCTTCCCTTCCATTAGCATTTGAGAGGAAAGCTGTTTTGTTACATGAAAAATACTGATTATCCCAGGAGCAAGAAAAAAAATATATGGAAAAGCAGCATTCAGCATACTACTTCAGGAAGGGAAAGGATCATAGCTGGTAGGTTTAGCAGTTGAGCCATATTTTTTAAAGTAGGTACACAAGCTCACAGGCAGCACCTGCACCAGGAGAATAGACCTGCTTTTGGTTGCTAGATTAAAAAGCCTTTTACTGTCCAAGATTTTCTGTATCTATAGGTACTTATACACCAAGATCAAATCACCTCTTAATATTCTCTTTAAGAAGTTGCACACATTAACCTCCTGAAGTCTCTCACTGCAAGATATGTTTTTCAGGTCTCAGTTCACCCTAATGAGGGATCCCGGTTTTCCATGATAAAAAAAAAATAAATCACAAATTCTCTGATAAAAATCCCAAAATCCGTGGTTAAAATTAATGCCACCCCACAGCCCTGCTGGTGTCCCTCACTCCCCCCTCTAGCTCCCAGCCCTGCTTGTGCCCCTTGCCTCCCACCCACAGTCCCTGCCCCCAGCCCTGCTGCAGGGGGCTCCAGCTACCAGGGATATGGGGCCAGGGACATAGGTATGCAGGCCCCTGCCTCCAGTGGAAGGCAGTGGCTGCTACAGCAGGAGCACAAGCCAGCTCCCCCCTGCTGCTACCTGCTGCAAGCTCAGGCAGGGCAAGCTCCCAGTGGCAGCATGCACTCCTGGGGGGGCAGAGGGGACCTGCACCCCCCCAGATCTGTGTAGGGGGTGGGGGCAGGGCAGATGTGCACCGCCCCCATGAACACAGAGGAAGTGTGGCCAGTGGCCAGGGCAGCACGGAGCTTGCAGCGGCAGGCAGCTTTTGTGCGTGGCCCCGTAGTGCCCTGCCATGCCAGTCGCACACGCTGCACTCTGGAGAGCCTGGGAGAGGGCAGCTGGCTGGGAGCAGCAGGGGTTTCCAGCCAGCTGAGCACTCT